GATTAAAGTCCAGATACATAAAATAATATATGTATACTTAAGAAGGTTTCTTAACCATAGGACTTCTCAGAACCTATAATAAACAAATGAGCAGTGTGCATCTCCAAAGTGTGAAGACAGTAGGATGTTTGAGGGTTCAGTAGGCAAAACCTTCCAAAATTATTTGATAACAAATTCCCTTATGTGTGGAACACCTGTACCACACACTTGAGTAAGAGGACCCCTAAGGTCCTCCAACTTCGGCTCTTTCAGCCTTAAAATTTAGACTCTCTTCACAGTCCTCCAATGTTTTCTGCCAGGGCAATGCTGAAAGCTACTATGAAATGATATCCATTTTCCAAGGAAGAAACCTGGGAACAGTTTTCAGCTGATTGCATTCTTTTCCCCGGTAATTCTTCATTTCCTCCAAGACAATACACTTGAACTTCGAACCCCTAGGAAACTTTCTAACAGGAAAATCCACCTGGCAACTACCATACTTGTATATTTATCCTCATTGACTTTCTCCTTCTTTTTTTTTGAGTTGGCGTCTCACTCGGTGGCTTAGAAATAGTTTAATGAGGAGTTAGTCACCTTTTCTATGTTGTCCTTAGGGGTCAGGTAAATCTTCCTATTGAAATCTTGTTAGAGTTTGATTCTTTTTCTATTCAATATTTAGACACAAACCAACACTTAGAACTTACAGTAGAAATATTTTAGGACTTTACATCTTTCCTTTCAATGCAATACCTTTTAAGTCAGGCATATAATCCCAAGATCCAAAACTATGTAGTAAAAGTGTCTCTGTGGTCAGATTTTCACGAGGTTTTGCCTTGTTAACAACTCCAGGAATTTTGTGCCTTTCAGCAACAAGAATTTTCTCTCACCTGTGCTACAAGTTAGCTGTGGTTCAACTGTAGCTCAACTCCAAGTTTCTTCTTCCCACCCACCCTTACGAAAAAAGAACAGTCCACTCTGATTCCCACCCATGTGCAATGGCAGACCTGTGTGATATGTCCAACACCTCTGTTCAGGCATGGCATGAGTCACTGCCATTCACACTCCACTGGCCAAAGCAAGTCACACAACCACATCTGACACAAAGGAGCAGAAAACATACTCCCTGCAGGGACAGGCTCAGGGAAGGAGTCTTTGTGGATGGATTCAGCAGAGAGAGGCAGTGGATAACTGGGAACAACATACAACCAACCACAACAACCCAAAATTGCTACAGTTCTACAAATAAGGTTCCAAGTTTATACCTTCAAAACATAGGTCATTGAGACAGAGGAAACCGACTTGCAAATATAATGTAATCTCAACTCATGGTTCCCCTGAAAACTTCATGATTTTCACAGAGAAGAATGAACAATTCCACAGTCACCAAGGAGCTGTATTTTTCTCCAAGCCACCTTCAGCTTTCAAGGGTCTAAAGGAAATGTTTTCTTGCAGAAGGAAAATATGACTTCCCCAAGAGATAAGAACCAAAGGATTGTCCTTTGGAGTCTGTTGAGAGTCAGTTTTGGCCACCTTGCTCTGTTTCAGTGAACATATCCATTTCTGAGGCCATCTGGGCAAACCTTCTGGGTCCTGGGTTGGCAATGATGAGTCAAGAAGTGAATTCAGAACAGTCAGACCAGCCTTTGAAGCAAATCATACACTACTCTCAAGAGAAGGGAGGAACATAGCTCAAGGCCAAGGCCAAAGGTCCTTGCACATGTGCTTGTGTGACCATAGTTACAGGAGCCCAAGGAAGACAAACTAAGCCTCACTGGTTTTATTTTCAATTGTTTTTAAGCATTTTGAGCTCAGTGAACCCCAAGCAGATTCTTGTCAAGCATTTTTTTCCTACTTAATATTTAAACCTGTGTAAACTTAAGGTGAAATTTAATCCAGGTATTTTGGATTTGCAGACAGAAATAATCATCAAAAAAAGACTTGTCTGAAATATTTGACTTAAAAGAAAGCTTTTTAAGCAACTTTTCTTACAAACAGGAAGTTGTGTGTTGCTGGAGCTTCAAAGTCAGATTCCCCACATTCTAATTTTAGTCTGCAAATCCTAGATTACAATATGTTTCAGATTTTATTCTTCATGCTTCACCACCCTGTTTAAAGGATATGGAAAAGATCACTGGAGGCCTGGGTTTAGGGGAGCTGCCTCCCCACTTTTAAAAATATTTTATTAGAATTATTATAATAGAAATTTAAATAATATTTATATACTTACTATAAGTTTAATAATATATAATATTTATATATTCCACAACATATACTATTTATGTAATAAGCATAAATAATGTGTAACAGTTTTTATCAGATCTTCTATATATTCCTTCTTTTAAAAATTCTTGACCTTGGGCCCCTGAACAGTTGACATTCTTCTGTAAGGATAGTAGAGGTGTACATTCCTGATATGAATAAACAGGTGTTCTCAGTACCTATGTGAAATCATGTTATTTTAGAATGCTGAGAGAAAATGAGAGGTTAAGTCTCCTTGTTAAAGGAGGAGGCTGTGTATCAGTGTGGTGGGTGTCAGCATATGTTCCAAAAGTAACAACAACAATAGTACCACCTGAGAACTTACTAGACATGCAGATTCTCAGGCTCCACCCCAAACCCACCGCATCAAAACTCTAAGCTTTCTGTGTGATTCTGCTGCAGTTAAGCTTGAGCACTTCTGTCAGGATGGTTACAGGCATGGGCAAAAGAGTGTGCAATGGTTATTGCAATGCACTATTGACCTGTGCCAACTGTTGAGAACTAGGGAGAGTCACTCACCCTTTCTGTACCTCAGTTTCCTCATCATGGGGATGGTGATGGTGCTTGCCTCTCGGGGATAAAGATGTGAGGATTAAGGAAATCCACAAAATGGAAAACCCTTAAAACAGTGGCTGGCTTGTGGCAGTGTGTTATCTATTTACAATGATGGTTATTGTCGTTATTGATCTGAACCTTTATTCCTATTATTCCTTATATGAATTTTTATTATCTTATATTGCTATTATTACTATTTATCTTCATCATTCCCACTTTGGACCACTTCTGGTTCTATTCAGACTCTCTTCTTGCCTATTATTTGCTTATGCATTTCTTCTAATCGATAGCTTTCTGGTCATTTCCAGGTTGGTTTCTGTCTGATGGAGCAGTGCATTTCAGCTTGCTGGGGAATTTGGGTTTTTTTTTTTTTTTCTTATTCTTCTTTCTTTCTTTCTGTTTTTTTGTTTTGTTGTTTGTTTGCTTGTTTGTTTGTTTTGCACATCCATCCTTATAACAGCCTCTTTCTTTAATAGAATTTCCTTTCTTTCTTGAAGATGGTAATGGGAACTTCCTTTCCACTTTTCTCATTCTCATTTTGTCCCCAACACCACAGTATAGTTTCTCATATAGTGAAGTATCTTTTTCAATGTGCCTATCATTTAGTTCTGTTTCAAATGTGTGCTTTTGAAAACAAATGCTACATAGCAGAGACACTCAGTGAGTTCATGCCATGTGTCTTTCATTGGTTTCAAGTAGGAGAGGGTAATATTGACCTCTCCATTTAACAGTTTCAAGAACATCATCTCAGTTAAGTTATCGCTGTTCTGCCGATCACAATTCCAACCCACAAGCTGGAACAATATAACAAAAACTGCAGAAATAAATACTATTTCCAGAGATTAAGGAAAATAACTGCTAGTAGTTTGCATGGATTATTGCTTATCTGGGAGAATTAAGAGAAGAGAAATTACAAGAAAATATTCTTTTATTATTCTTTCCAACCTTAACTTTTGGAAACTGTTATTGTCCCTTGCCATTTTCGAAATTAAGCACTTGGATTACAGAATCACTAAGGGAAAAAAAAATCTAAGCCACTAACATAAAATTCTATAAAATAAGAGTATGTATCAACAATGAAGCAAATGTCATAAAATAAGTCTGCTGAGGTATAAAATAGCATTAATTAAGAGATACCAATGAAGTGTAAATAATAAAACATGTGGGTAAGATTCATGATTGCAAAGAAGATTCTGAGTCTTAATAGAACAACGACAAAGAGATCATTTCCCAAACGCGCTGTGACTACACTGGGAAGATCCAGCTCAAAAAGGCTGTACAAGTTGATAACTGGGAATTCTTAATTATAAAAGAGCAATAACTGTAAATAATTGGCCAGTCAGAAAAACTTATCAAGTATATGTGTGCCTGTGTATCAGAGACAGATAAAAATGTGTGGATATAGATAGTAGATGATAGATAGATAGATGATTAATAGATAATAGGTTGATAGATGATAGGTAGATAGAGAGAGAGATGATAGTAGGTAGGTATATAGATACTTGATAGATAAAAGGTAGATAGACGACAAGTGGACAAGTCGATAGATGATTGATAGATATAGATGATAGGTAGGTAGATAAGTAGATAAATAATACATAGATTTATAGATAGCTTAGCAAGAAGTATTTCAGAAAAGTAGGATGCAAAAGAACCTCTTGAATTTAAAACTGATTACAGAAAATGTGGAGGTTTAAGGGAGCTTTGTGGTGGACTGACAAGAACACTGGGATAGCTTCCAAAGACTTGGGACCTCGTTCTTTCTGCCAGGACCCAGCTGTGTCAAGTGGGATGGCTCTGACAATCTTTTCCACTCTAATGTTCTATGACTCAACAGTAGTAATGCATTTCCACAGGCGGTAAAAATATTCTAGACTCTTCCCTTCCAGCGCTCACTGTTTACTTCCTCTGCACTTCCCCTTCCTGCCTCTCTGTTTGCTGGTCAGTTCATAGCGGGCCTCCATGAGGGTGGGTTAACCCTCTCTCTCCAGGGTGTTTTGCTGCTGAGCTCCCTCCAGGGACTGGAAATTCTATAGTGAGACTGTGGTTGGGGTTCAGTTTCATTCTTAAATCATTCCTTGAGCCTTTACCCTATTTTGTGCACTGTGCCAGGTGACCAGGTGGAAGGTAAAAGCCACAGTCGTAGCCCTCAGAAAATTGTTGGTGGTCAGTTTTACTGCGGTGCTGTTGGTAACCACCTGTGAATACCATGTGTCCCTCTTTCTTTCAGGCAATAGAAGAATCCCATGGTAGACAGGTGGGTGACAGGAAGCGAGGACATTCTACCTGCCTTGGAGAAGACACCTGATCTGCGGAGTGAATGACCAGGTAGTAGACTGTTCTGAGGGCATGCACATTGGAGGGAGGGAGTAGAACAGAGTGGGCCATGGCACCCTTTGATGGCTGACATCAGCTGCTCTCTTCCCTGCAGAGATGCTGCGCTCAACACACCCAGAGGCTCTAGGTCTTATACGGTGATTTATGTCCACCAAGCTCTGGTAGGAGGTATTGTTGATGTCATTAACTCCAACACTAGATAGCAGGACTGCAGCAAGAGAGCTCTCAGCAGAAACAGGAAACAGATCCGGCTCATCCAAAGCCTGGCTCACTGCCCCTTTGAAAGGTTAAAACAGAAGCTTGTTGGTGCTGCCTTCATAAAAACAAGGCCAAGTTTTCCACAATCTGGCAGAGGGCTGAGCTTGGAGATTCACTTGTGCCCGCAGGACACTAGTGTATCACTCGCTCTGGAAAACCTAAGCCTCTGTTTTTATTTCAGTGGATCGAATGGCATGCAATTTTCCCAGCAGTTTCTAAAAAAAAAAAAAAGTGCATGCAGTTACTTGTACATAAAGCTGCATTTGTCTCCAGCCATGCTCGCATTATGAGCTTGTCTATGCATCTAGGCATGCCAGCACGGCGTTTCCTCTGCAAACCTTTACTGTGGTAACTTTCCTCTTTGTTATACTGAGAAATGTTTCTGTGGGTATGATAAGGCTTACATTTATCAATTACGTCCTGTAATTTTCCTCTAAACGGATCCCAAGAAAAGGGGAATTGGCTTCAAGGTAAAGAAATTCTGAATAACATATGGCCCTTTTTTTGCAACAAAAATGATAAATGACTTTCCTTTCCAAGAAAAATATCATTTTCAAGGGGCATTTATTAAATGACACACTCTTAATAATGTAACAGGAAAATTAAAATGCCCAACAGATCCACTGTATCCTGAACAGGTGTTTACCTCAAATGGATAAAGTTTCTATTTGCTTGAAGGGATTTGCCCAATTACTTTTGAAACTTCTATTGAGAAAGTGGGGCTCTAACAGAAAAGACTGTGGCATGAATCATAAGCCACTGTATATCAGTTCCTTTTTAAAGGGGGGTATTTTTTAATTCTTAAAATACCAATGAGATGGGGAAAAAAAGAAAGAAAAACATGCCAACCAGGTAAAGGTGCCCTGTAATCACTTACATGATCTTTTTCAAAGAATGTGGGGGAAATTTATGTCAGTTCCAGGCAGGTACTATAAGATGCTGGGTGATCTCACAGTCAGCTTGTTCCTGGCTGTTAATGCAGGGTGGAAGATTCCCTGGGGCTGAGCATGGGAGCACAGCACTTCTAGGTAAGTCTTTTCTGCTACAATGTTAGATGCCTATGATCATTGATGTTCTCTTTTGCTCTTTAAAAGCGATTCTTCATGCTGGTTCTGCTTAGTTCCATAAAGTAATGCAGAATTTTTGTACCATGTATATCTAAATATCATACCTAAAATGACATTGGTTGCACGTTTCCAAGAATAATCAGTATTGATTGAGTCATTAATAAAAGATATAAAAAAAGATATAATTAACAAATCAAGAGTGTTGAAGATATTAGTTTGGATATATGAACACAATTTTTTATCCTTCATATCAGGAGTCGTTTATGTTGCCCAAAATTAAAACATAAAGTTTAAAAAAATGTTTTGGGTTGTTTGATATCCGAGTTTTTTCCAGTGCCATCAAAAACCAGGAGAGGTTTTTAGTTATTCATTGGATTTGTGAGGGGAAAATAAATTGCTGTTACAAAGGTCATGCAAAAAGTAGTTTTAAAAAATGCATTAATACTGCTTATTCTTTTTAAAGTTTATATTAATATTTTCCATTACTATATCAAGAACTATATTGAGGGTGGTAGATTTTAGTTATGTCAGTACTGGACCTAAGCTCAGCCAAATAATTTTTAAATTTTTATAGCGGAAAATCCATGATAGCTGGATATAAATAAATATTCATATTACTCTGTGGGATATATGCATAAGAGTTTATTATCACAAAGAGAAGGATGACATCATATTTTTTGGAATGTGAAGCTCTGTTTTGGCACTTTATCTCATTTAATTACCACAAAAACTCTGGGGAATAGGTTTTATTACCATTTTAAATATTAGGGAGCTGAGGTCCAGAGAGGGTAAAGAGCTTGTCTCAGGTGACACAGCTAATTAATTGTAGAGTCAATATTCAACCAGGATTTGCTTTTTTCCAAAGTCCATGCTTCTCACTCTACCTTACTGACCACCTCAAATACAAACCAATTATTCTTGCCTTCAGAATTCTCCTTTCTTGAGTACTCCCATATCCATTTAAACTTGCTTCACACAATTATTCCATTTTCTGGAAGTCTACCACATACACGAGAGGATCCCCCCCCATGTTTTATTTATAAAAAACGTGTATTTATTCTTACATGTTTAAACCTCAGTCACCTTCAATGTACTCTTCATTTGATGCAGTACACCTATTGAGATGCTTTTTCCACCACTCAAAACAGTTTTTGAACTCATATTTCAATGCCTTTTAGTGCTTCTACAGTCTTTTGTGTTACCTATTCCACATAGGCAAAACGTTTCCCTTTGAGAAGTTCTTTCATCTGGGGAAACAAAAATGTCAATCGGGGTGAGATCGAGTGAATACGGAGGGTGGAGCAGGGATATCATGCTGTTTTGGGTCAAAAACTGGTGAACTCAATACAGTATGAGCAGGTAGGCTCGTAAATCGACTATCATAAAATGGGCAAACATGTTGAAAGGATCTCCAGAAAAAAATTCATTGAAGCTGAATGCAGCCTGTCACAACACTAGCTGGTACACTGATACTGGTGGGTTCCTAAAACACTTACCTAGTGGAGGAAGCCTGTACTTCAAGGGCCACTCCCCTCCAAAAATATATATATATTTTTGGCCCCCCTCGTATAAGCTTAATGAGACATCTTTCTTTGTCACTTCTCTAGGTCCTCTCAGAGCCTGACAATGGATGCTATTCACATCGGCATGTCCAGTGTCCCCCTGGTGAAGCATACTTCTGGGACTGGGCTCATGGCCAACAGACCTCGAGTCATGTCCAAGAGTGGGCACAGCAACGTAAGAATTGACAAAGTTGATGGCATCTACTTACTCTACCTGCAAGACTTGTGGACAACAGTTATCGACATGAAGTGGAGATACAAACTCACCCTGTTTGCTGCCACTTTCGTGATGACCTGGTTCCTTTTTGGAGTCATCTACTATGCCATTGCATTTATTCATGGGGACTTAGAACCCAGTGAGCCAATTTCAAATCACACCCCCTGCATCATGAAAGTGGACTCTCTCACAGGAGCCTTTCTCTTTTCCCTGGAATCCCAGACAACCATTGGCTATGGTGTCCGTTCCATCACGGAAGAATGCCCTCATGCCATCTTCCTGTTGGTTGCTCAGCTGGTCATCACAACATTGATTGAAATCTTCATCACTGGTACCTTCTTGGCCAAAATTGCAAGACCCAAAAAGCGGGCTGAGACCATCAAGTTCAGCCACTGTGCAGTCATTACCAAGCAGAATGGGAAGCTGTGCTTGGTGATTCAGGTAGCTAATATGAGGAAGAGCCTTCTGATTCAATGCCAGCTCTCTGGCAAGCTCCTTCAGACCCATGTCACCAAGGAGGGGGAGCGAATCCTCCTCAATCAAGCCACTGTCAAATTCCACGTGGACTCCTCATCTGAGAGCCCTTTCCTTATTTTGCCCATGACATTCTACCATGTGCTGGATGAGACGAGCCCACTGAGAGACCTCACACCCCAAAACCTAAAGGAAAAAGAGTTTGAACTCGTGGTTCTCCTCAATGCCACCGTGGAATCCACCAGTGCTGTCTGCCAGAGCCGAACATCCTATATCCCAGAGGAAATCTACTGGGGTTTTGAGTTTGTGCCTGTGGTTTCTCTCTCCAAAAATGGGAAGTATGTGGCTGATTTCAGTCAGTTTGAACAGATCCGGAAGAGCCCAGATTGCACCATTTACTGCGCAGATTCCGAGAAGCAAAAACTTGAGGAAAAGTACAGGCAGGAAGACCAGAGGGAAAGAGAACTGAGGACACTTTTACTACAACAGAGCAACGTTTGATCATAGGGGTGTCATCCAGGCTTAACCCTGCAAGCTGTTTCCACATTAGAACTCCCTTCAAACACAAAGGTTGCTGTGAAAATGAAAATGTATAGATGCACTCTAAAAAAAACTGTATGGAATCAATCCTTTCCTTTGATCTGATGACTAGCAAGTGTTTCCATGTTTGAGAAGATCCTTTTAAGTTAACTCTCAAAATGTAAATTTTACTAAGTGAAGCTACATTTCAAAGAACTTGGTGTAAAGTAATTGGAAAAATGCACTGTTGGGTAACCAGATACTAACCAATGCTGATATTGAAAGGAAATATATTTCTATACAAGAAGATTCGCTAAAATGTATTGTATTTATTTAACTAAGTATCCGTGCCTTTATGGTCGAGGGTTAAAATGTGGTCAATATTCACTTGTATCATTGCTTTCAAACATATTCTTTATGTTCAATCAGGAAAAATATTATATATAATGATGGTTAGATGGTAATACCAAAATGGGTAGGGAAGTTCTATGCTCACAAAATATAGTAATTCCATTTTTACCTTTCTACAGTGGACTGAATTGTATGGATTGAAATTGATCAAATCAGTAATTAACAGTCATGGAAACATCTACAAATGAAGCTGATGCTATTGTTCCCACTATTTTGTTGTTGTTGGGATGTATTAGGTCCTTTCTATTCAAAATGTGGTCCACATCAGCACTGTGTAGGAGCTTATTGGCAATGTATTTTCTCAGGCCCTTCTGCAAGAAAGACTTACAGAATCAGAGTCTGTATTTTAAGACCCCCCAAGTGATTTGTGGACAAATGAAAGTTTGAAAAGCTCTGCTCTGGACAATATTATCAAAGCAACTTTCTGAAGCCATCAGTGGGTCTCTTGTCTACGTGGCATCCAGACCTGTCCAGTCTTCAGTTCATTATTATTCCTTTTAGTCATTTCATTTCTTATCTATTAACATATCTTGCCCACAGAGAAATGTCATAGAATTGTGCCCTGACATTTCAAGAGCAAAATAAAGCTCTTGAAAGTAATGGTTGTCTCAGTCAAGCTTGTTGATTATAACTAGTACAAATGAAAAATTAAGCTTCTGATTAATACAGGAAACTTTCTCAGATGCTGAAGTTTGTAGGTTGGGTGGGGCTGTGACAAAGAAGAGGAGCCCAGAGTAAGGAATTCATAAATAAGATGACTTTGTGATTAGTGAACAAAATTAAATAATCTCATAACTTGTAAAGAATACAGATTAGCCAGGCTCCGTGGCTCAGCCTGTAATCCCGCACTTTGGGAGGCTGAGGTGAGTGGATTGCCTGAGCCCGCAGGTTTGAGACCAGCCTGGGCAACTTGGAGAGACCTCATCTCTACAATAAGTCAACAAAATTAGCCAGGCCGGTAGCGTGTGCCTGTAGTTCCAGTTACTTGGAAGGCTGAGGCAGAAGGATCACCGGAGCCCACCAGGTTGAGGCCGGCCACTGTACTCCAGTCTGGGCGACAGAGTGCGACTTCAACTCAAAAAAAAAAAAATACAGATTATACAAAGAGATAACATTTGCCTCTGGCAAAATGTAGGAGTCTGGTGTCCTGCATTACTTTGGGGCAGAAAACAGATGGCCTAGGATTGGTTAGATGTGCAAAAAGTAAATTATCATTTCATTCAAATCAAGACTGATTTGTGCAGTCACTCAAGCAGAATGTGACCATGAATGTGCATACCACGAATACATACATAGACATATACATGAACCCACATACACACACACACACACACACATTCACAGACACATATATACATAAACTCTCCAAGCATAATCGTAGGAGTCATCAGTAAAAGACATTTGTGATTAAGAGAGGAAAGTCCTCAACAAGTATGCTCATGTCTGTTTGATTCTATAAGAATATGAACATTGGGACTCAGAGAAAATGGGGAAAATAAACTGGATTCCAATTATCAGTGAAACAATGATATAGGATACAGCAAACCTGGCCATATCCTGATGTTACTACATTTGCAAATGTCCTTCCTTTAAACAACAACAGAAAAAATTGACTAAAACTTCCAATCCAGAACTGAACTAATTTAAGGCAGGTATAAAAATAATGGGGGAAAAGTTTATAAAGGTTTTAAGAACAATCTCAATCCATGCACAGAAGAGAAGACTTTGTCTTTAATTGTTCCGAAGATTTTTTCCTTTTCTTTTTCTTTTTTTTTGAGTTGTAGTCTCACTCTGTCGCCCAGACTGGAGGGCAGTGGCCACTCCTGGCCACCGCAGCCTCGACCTGCTGGGCTCCGGCGATCCTTCCACCTCAGTCTTCCAAGTAGCCGGAATTACAGGCATGCGCTACCACGCCTGGCTGATTTTTTGATTTATTGTAGAGATGAGGTCTCGCTGCCCAGGCGGGTCTCGAACCTGCAGGCTCAGGCAATCCACTCACCTCAGCCTCCCAAAGTGCGGGATTACAGGCTGAGCCACCGAGCCCAGCTGATTTTTTTCTTTTTCTATTGATAACTTTATGACAAGTTGCTGTAGATATCCATTCTTTTAAAAATATTACATGTAGGTATAGTAAGATATTAACTCTTTTAGTTATTATACCTCCTTTTTAATTGTATATCGTGGTATAATCAACAAGAAAATAATGCCACAGACATTTTTACACCTTTTCTGTTGCACTATTAAATTTTTTCACAGTATTTATATCAATGTTAATTTGAATCTGATCCAGATTAGTACTTTCCTCACTTATACTGTACATGGTACAATAATGTAGCATAAGATTCAGAAATATTTTTGTACATTCTTTTAGCATATTCATTTCAGCCAAATTTGGAAGACTTGGTTATCTGGTCTTTAGCACTAAACACAAAACCAAACATGTACAAGTTAATAAATGATATTATAACATAATATGCAATAAATAGCTCTAAAGTTGTGTCTTGTTTGAAATTTGCCTTTTTTTTGTTGTTTTTGAGTTGGAGTCTCACTATGTCACTCAGGCTAGAGTGCAGTGGCACACTCACGGCCACCCCATTGTGGACCTGCTGGTTCCAGCAATCCTTCCACCTCAGTCTTCCAAGTAGCCGGAACTACAGGCATGCGCTACTACACCCGGCTGATTTTTTATTTATTGTAGAGACAAGGTCTCGCCAAATTGCCCGGGCTGGTCTCGAACCATAGGCTCAAGCAGTTCGCTTGCCTCAGCCTCCCACAGTGCTGGTATTACAGGCTAAGTCACTGAGCCCGGCCACCATTTTAAGACACACTTAGCTATTATTACTTTGTACAGAACACTCTCATGTTAATATGCTAACAGAGGATTTAGGTAACAAACTTATTTGATTGTATCTAGTCAGTCTTCTGGTTGAAATAGATTCATGTTTGTTACCCAACTAAAGAGTACCAAAATTACTGGAGTATTTTTGACCCCAAAGGATTTTGAGTTTTGGAACATTTCTAATGTGTTAGGTTTTCTCGGTGAGACCATTCAAAACCCACAGAGTCAATAGTAGCGAGTCAGTGTAATCTGTAAGCCATGCCCTATTCAGGAATAAAATAGATGTTGCTAACTTGATGCCTTGCAGACAATGGCCCTAGACAGCAAGAATTCACTCACTGATCTTCACAATGAGCCATCTTTGGGGTGGGATTGGGAGGTATGCATTGATTCCCTTTTACACTAATGGGGGAGCCTCCAGAAATCTAACACAGAGCTGAGCACAGAGCTGAGCACAGAGCTGAGCACAGAGCTGAGCACAGAGCTGAGCCTCCAGAAATCTAAAACAGTTGATAATAAAGGGGCAAATGCCATGAATTAGTGGCTTAGATATGTAGATAAACTTAACAATAATTTTGTTTAATTTTAATTAAGTTGACTTCCTAATTTTAATTGACTGCGATTTCAGTATATCAAAATATAAAGTAAGACATGTTTCTAAGATATCTATTCTACTCCAGTATGAAAAACTTGTCACTTCTACTCTAGTGTGATTATTTCTTCCTTGCTTGGATCCTTAGGACACATCTATCATCTGGAGGGAAGAGAAAAGAAAAAAGAAAGCACTAGGTCTTTGACCAGGTACTTCAATATAGGATAATTATGGGGTTTGGTTCTGTGCATTGTCATGACAGTCAAAGGGTCAAATATTTGACCATGTGTTGCAATGAAAACTCTCAGTCTCCCAGTCTTGACTTCTTGCTAGATTTTCCTTTGCCTGTAAAATTTTTGAAATAACCAGTTTTAAGGGGAAGTTATTTTATCATAGCTTTCTATGATGTGATTTTTTTTTTAAATGAGATACTAACATTTCAAGTCTTGATTTCCAAGTTCTCTGATGCACCCTCGAAATCCGGCCTCTGATATTTGAGTCTAGATTGGTCCAAGATGTTCTTCATTTTCTTCCCTTGAGAAGACTTAACTAGAATGGTTAAAGCTTAACATTTGCTTCTAAATGATTAGCTACATACACTCTATCCTTTGTGAACTTCAATTTATCTGTCATCAGAATGACTTACTAGTCAATCCTTGGGCCTGTGCACAGCATTGAGTGATTTTCTGCTCTCAGAATGAATGTGACTTCTGAGTGGTATTACAGTCTTCAGAGTTGGAATTTGCAATGAAACAGTGTGGGTAGAAATTAACCGGGGTTTTAGAAAATACACGAGTTACTTATTAGTATTTGTCAGTAAACTCTGCCTTCATTGTTGTGTTGCTTTGTTTATTTTTGAAAGGACAAAATATTTATCTTCAGAGCAAGAAAGGTGGTGAGAAAAGTGTAAGAAATGGAAGATAATAGCTGATCAACCAGACTTTTAGGTAAAGGGACTTCTACCAGTGGAAAATAGCTTCTTTGTAGAGGAAAATTTGGTTATTCAATCTAACATTACAGCAGACTACCATTATATATGTCTAGCTTCCCAGGAGAAGCAATTTTCCTAGCCTTTTAAGAAAAACGAATGGATCAAATCCAACTTTTTTCCTAAAGTTTTTCCACTAAATGCTTTATGGAAAAAGAAACATGAGGCAAAAATAAAGCTTCAGCCTTTTTCTTCACCTTCACCCTCTGTCTCTCTTCTCATGTTGCACTCAACTTCCTTTCAACTTCATATGTGCTTGGTTGACTGTTTCTTTATATTTGCTATCCATTCTATCAAGTCAAATAGA